AGTTGAAGTCCAAGAACATCTGGAGGCCCAAGGTTGGGGACCACTGCTGTAGACCATCTTGACTGCTGCCGTAGGTGGTCAAAGATGACTACCACCTTAGAAGTGTTAATGATGGCAGACTTATTATGCTTACACTTCTTTTTCTATTTTGCAGAAAGGCCTAAGAACTTTGATCATCTCTCCTTCTGCAGCTTGCCAACACAGACATGCTGAACTGGTGTCACAATCAATGCCAACTGTGGTATTGAAGTCAATGTCAAGGCACATGACAGATGATGAAGAGACAGGTACAAGCAGAACATTGAGGATTCCAGGAGGTTTACAGATGGAAGGCCTTTGAGGAATATCATCAATATCCAAGACAGCCTTTTCAAGGAGAAGAGACTTTAAATAGGCATAGCAGGTACATCTCACACTGGTTGGAAAAAGACTGGCAGACAGAAGCATTCTGCTCTTCTCTAAGACAGAAAAGGCATCCTGCTGTGTATCTGTGGAGCAGCCTTCACTGTAAAAACAAAACACTTCAAGAACACCCCTGGAGCCACAGGTTGTAAGGGATGTGAAAAACTTAAATTAATCAGAAATAAAGGAAAAACAGTCTTAGAGAGAGAGAAAGAGAGAGAGAGAGACAGCATATACACGTAAACATGGAATAAAGGTAACCATAAAAGAACAAGGCACCTAGTATTAATGAAGTTTTCTCCATGTGTTCTATTATTTGTTGCCAGTGTGGTGGGCAAAGCAGAAGTGAGAGAAAGTTTCCACATTTATGTACTCTGGGGTGGAAAGATTAGTACTAAAACTCTATCTAATTCCCAGAAGTTCCAAACCATAGTTGGATCCTTCTTCCCATGACAACTATATAGAATCAAGAGTGGTTGTGTAGTAGAAAAAATATAAAGTGACTTGAGATCGCCCTGCCCAAAGATGTGACATACTGGACATGCTGCATTTCTTAAAAAACAGGCACACTGACTCAATTGAGCTTTAGTAAATAAGATGCAAAATGAGAAAGGGAAACAATTTGACTAATCAGATGGCAGTGACAAAGTCCTACAGCTATCCTGGTACTTTGATCTTTAGGGAAATTAACCCCTGCTTCTGTCCCTTTAATAGCAGCAGTTTATCTCCATGGCATGATCTAGTTCCTGAAGATGTAATGGCATGATAAACCGTTCATTCTTGAAATGCTAAAGAGAAAACAGGATGTAAACGTGTGTGTGTGTGTGCGTGCATGTGCGTGTGTGCGTGTATGTGCATAGCTCCCACTGTCATATTTTTAGGGAAATTAACCCCTGCTTCTGTCCCTTTAATAGCAGCAGTTTATCTCCATGGCATGATCTAGTTCCTGAAGATGTAATGGCATGATAAACCGTTCATTCTTGAAATGCTAAAGAGAAAACAGGATGTAAACGTGTGTGTGTGTGTGCGTGCATGTGCGTGTGTGCGTGTATGTGCATAGCTCCCACTGTCATATTTCGCCGTTTTGAAATGCTAAAGAGAAAACAGGATGTAAATGTGTTTGTGTGCGTGCATGTGCGTGTGTGCGTGTGTGTGCATAGCTCCCACTGTCATACTTCGCCATCTAGTCGTTTAGTCGTGTCCGACTCTTTGTGACCCCATGGACCAGAGCACGGCAGGCCCTCCTATCTTCCACTGCCTCCCGTAGTTGTGTCAAATTCATGTTGGTTGTTTCAATGACACTGTCCAACCATCTCATCCTCTGTCGTCCCCTTCTCCTCTTGCCTTCACACTTTCCCAACATCAAGGTCTTTTCCAGGGAGTCTTTTCTTCTTATGAGATGGCCAAAGTATTGGAGCCTCAGCTTTAGGATCTGTCCTTCCAGTGAGCACTCAGGGAAGTGATTTCCTTCAGAATGGATAGATTTGTTCTCCTTGCAGTCCAGTTCAGCCTATGCAGTATTTTTCTTTGCAGCATTGGACTTTCCTTTCACTTCCAGGCACGTCCACAGCTGAGCATCCTTTCAGCTTTGGCCCAACCACTTCATTAGCTCTGGAGCTACTTGTACTTATCCTCCACTCTTCCTCAGTAGCATGTTGGACGCCTTCTGACCTGATGGGCTCATCTTCCCGTGTCATATCTTTTAGCCTTTTGTTTCTGATCATGGGGCGTTCTTGGCAAAGATACTGGAGTGGCATTGCCAGTTCCTACTCCAGGTGGATTGTGTTTAGTCGGAACTCTTCACTATGACCTGTCCGTCTTGGGTATCCCTGCATGGCATAGCCCATAGCTTCTCTGAGTTACTCAAGCCCCTTCGCCATGACAAGGCAGCAATCCATGAAGGTGTCTGTCATACTTACCTTATCATATTTAAATAGGCTTTCAAGAAACTTCCCTGGGTCCTGAAGAAGACCTTTGCCCGGCTCCCAATAGTCATCTATCTTAGAACCTGGTTTATCTCCTGCTATTTTCTTGGGCTTCACTCCCTTCATAATGCAGACAGCTTCAATCACCATTTTTACTCCAAGTGGAGGACGTTGCATGGCTCGCACCTAATGGAAAACATAGAAAATAAATGAATCAATAGTTCCCAGTTGTTGAGAATTCATAACCATTCTGGGTTTCAGTATGGAAACAAGGTATCAGATCTGCATAGAACTTAAAATGTAGTCTTTATTATAATAGGGGTAGTCATAAGAATGAGTGCCTCCATTCTGATGTACTGTATAGTAAAGTGGCATAAGAATGAGTGCCTCCACTGTGATATACAGTATATACTGTATAGTAAAGTGGCAGGTACGTATATGAATAATTACATAGTATAGTTAAATCTAACTCAAGAGGGTACATGGTAGGTGGTAAAGACTTGTGCTGTACCTCAGAATAGATAGGGGTTTTAGGAAGAGCATCAGTCAGATCCAGGTGGTGTTTGACTGATCTTGCAGATGTGATTTCTCTTTCTTGGAAACACTGCCACCTGTCTTAAGGGGGTTACCCAGTTTGGTATGATGGACAAGGAGTCAGGAGACTTGGGTTTGAAATCCTCAACCAGCTATAGAAACTCAGCTTGAGAGAGGGCAGAACAAATAAAATCACCCCTTAAATACTTCACATACCTTGAAAGCCCTCTTAGGGTTGCTGTAAGTCAGTCCTGACTTGACAGCAAACAACACACACATATACCCGTCACTTACATGTGGCTGGCTATCTTTTTGAAATGCTGCTTGCTTAGGCTTGATTTACACAAGCATATGGTGCCAGAGGAAAAGGGAGAGAAGAGAGTTCCTGTCTCTTTGAGTTATGTAGAAAAGCAGATTTCAGGAAATGAAGCTTGTTTTCATCACTTCCATGAAAAGCTGCAATCACCTCAATTTCCCTTTCTATACAGCCATAAAAGCTACAGAGCTGTGTCCTCCAAAGACTTATTGTCTCCTAACTCTATCACTCACAGCTATGCGGGGAGACACTAATGCAGCTCATGTTACTGGATGGCTGGTTCGCATATGGAAGTGATCACTCTACCTCAGAATTGCACTCAACAAGTGTAAAACCTTCATGCTTAAACTTGTCCTTTAAAAGGAGACCTTTGTACCATGTTCTTGTGTGATAATGGCTCTACCTATTTACTTGAAAAGTACATTAAATGAAACTCACTTTCAACTTAAAATGCCCTTACATGGATAAGACCATCTGAGGTGCACTAAAAATAGGCATGTCCCAGTGCTCACCCACAGATGGTCAGGAGACAAGTATATACTTGTAAGTATATAGAAGTATATAGAATTAAATTCCAAGAATGTTTGTTTTGAATGCGATGGGATGTAGTTCCTAGTAAATAAAATTAAAACTAGCATTGGAGTAACTGACTGGCCTTTATGTATTATCACCCACAAACCTTATACACAGGCTAGGCAGAGAGGATCAGGAACAAAAGGCAGTTAACTGGGTAGCACAATATACTGCAGTATGATACTGGAAAGGATTGATAGGTTCAAAACAGGGCAGGCTTCTTGCACCTTTAATCCTTGAGCAAAAGAAGGAATAGTGACCCAGGTATAGTTTGCATACTAAGCTTCACCTGCTCAGAGTATTCTGCTTAGGAGGAACAGAAGCAGCAGACAGGGGTAAATTGACTCTAGTCTTGACAGGGAATACTGGAATACCACGTTTTCAGTTGGCCTTCATGACTGCAGCTTTAACAGAGAAGCTTGTTAACAGAGAAATGAACACGTGATCATGTTTTATCTTACTCTGTGAACAGTTCCCCCAGTTGATTTTTTTTTAAAGAATTGAAATACACAAGAGTACTGTTAAGTTTAAAAGGCTGGACATTTTTTTCCAATTAGTTGGCAACTCTGATGAAAATATAACCGGTAAACAAGAACAGTTTGCCTTCTTTTAAAATCTGTCGGACCTGATACAAGCACGATGGTCTGTAATTTCATACCAAAATCCTGAGAAGCTTAGGTTCTGTTTCAAAAAAGAACAAATGCTCTCTAACCCTCAGTGGTTAGGATGGCAAATATTACACAGATGTAAAGATGTTTTTAAGAACTAGTTTTTTTTTTTTAGGAATGTGGAAGTACTGATGACAAAGATTGAGTGAACACAGAAGAGGGAAGAATGGGCTGATGTGATGGAGATGTGGGAGTAGTATTCACATGACAAAACAAGCACCTTTTAGGACCCTGAAACCCACCTGTCATCCGCATCCTTTCAAGGCCTACAAACTGCATTTAACAAACACAGCTGTGGAAAATAAACCTTGGGATTCTCTATGTGTGGAATTCTGAGGCAAGTGATAAATGCTACATTTATAAATGGTCAACCTGTGCATGTCCCTGTACTACTTAATCAACAAATCTATTCCCTGGCTATCAGAGTGAGAAGAACAGCCAACACATGCTTGCCTGGAGACGTTCCAGAGTCTTTCTACTGGATACAGTTGATAGAGGAGCTGAGTTTGTTGAGATCCTGAAAACAGTCTACCCTAAGGCAGAGAGTCTTCATGAGAAGGACTTTGACTGGCTGTTTGACTGTCCCCAGACCGAGCAGTTTCTGGAATGGTTCTGCAACACGGTGAGTGAGGAGAACATACTGACTGTCCCTGAACTGGACAGTTATGAAAAGCTGTTAGTTTCTGGGAAGCCTATCCTTGAAGGAGAAGCATTGGAGGAGGTGTTAAAGACCTGTCACCAAACTTCAGAGCTAAAGGGTGCCCCAGAGGGGAATGGAATCCTGCCCCTCAAGACTCTGGAACAAGAGATGCAGTTACTGAAGAGTCAGTATGCTTGTCTGTTAAAACGATACAACAAGCTTCAGGTTCGTACAGCTAGCCTGAAGCAGGAACTCTGCTTTTCAGCAGAGATGAAAGAGAAAGCAAGCAGGGAGCTGAAGAAAGCACAGCTAAGGCTGGAGCTGGAGAATTTTCAAAGCAATGATGTTCTCAGTCAGGCTGGTAAGACAGCAACGGAAGTGTTGCATTGGCACAAAAACCCCAGAGGTGAAGGGGCAAAAGCATCATTGGCTACAGAGGACCTGAGATGTTACCTGGAGTCAGAGGAAATAGCTACAAAGGCTTTTAAGGAGTACCTTGCAAAGGTCATGCCAGGGATTATAGGTGATATGGAGGAAAATAAGAAAAGGGCAAGGAATGGGCCGGGAGGCTCTCAGGAAGAGCCGAATACAGAGTCTCCTGAAAGACGTGCTCAGGAAATGCTACTAAAAGATCAGACCATTTGTGCCAAAAATTATGTAAGTTACAAAATGACCACAGGAGGACAGAAAAGCCCTGTACTCTATGAAGGGCAAGTGGGTAGCAAGAATGAGCCAGTGTTTACTCCGAAAGCCCTGCCAGAAAAAATGGACGAAACAAAAAGAGAGAATTTCAGAACTCAGGCACTGAATGTTCACAACAGCTACCAAGAGCTGAAGCAGGTAGAGGATGATCAAATGGAGCTCCTTAAAGATGACACTCCATGCAACTATCCAGAAGAACTGAAGCGCATGGAATTAGCCTACATGTGGAGCCAGATATTGATAGTCATGACCTCAGCTAACATTAAGGGGATTGCAAGCACTTTACAATGGGCAAGGAAGGTATCAAAATCTGTTGAGGAGAACAAGGTAGGTCATTAGCCATCAATAGATCACAGCAGTAAACTGTGGAACCCACAACTCTGATGAATTTTGTGATTGTTGCCAAAGGGACAACAAATAACTAGAATATCTAAGTAGCCAGAAAACAGATTTGTTACTCCTCTGGCTTCCTCACCAATTGATCTGAAGTCAGTCTCTCTGAAGTGACATTATAAGAATGTTTGTGTATCTTTTGCTTTATGCTCCCTCCCCCCAAATGCATGTGTTTCTTTTGAGGAAAAAGGTGCATTTTGTGCACCCTTGCCTCCCTCCCCCACATACTGGGGCTCTAGGGAACACATTGAAGGTCAGTACTTCCATTCATAATTTTATAGGCTTGTATAAACTTTGGGGGAGTGAGAGAATACGTTTTTTGACTCCCCCCCCGGAAAACATGAAATTGTAACAGGAAGGGACAAAGTTCAAGCAGAGTGTTAGTTACTACAGGGATGTGTGGGATGTAAAGTTTGCATCTTCTACAGGTGGAGGAAGAGAGAAGTGAACTATGTTTCCGGATAGCCACTTGCCAGGAGCAACTCTGCATCCTCCAAAAGGAAGTAGACCAGGCAAAGACCCAACAGCTTGTGCCTCTGCTCCAGGAAAGCATCCGTCTCTTTTGCTTGCCTATAGTAAGTGGAGAGCTTGATTTGGAAGCTGTCAGACTTGGGCGTCTTGAGTTGATGCAAGAAGAAACTACTGGCCACCTGTTGGGCCAGCTGAGCCATTTAGAGCTGCTGAGGCTCTTGCTGATGCTGGAGAAGAAGAAGATGCAAAACCTGGCAAGTGGTCTGGAGGGGATAGCAACTGTTCTGAAGGAACTGCACTTGACATCACAGGAATGGGAATCGTGTTCCGAGGATTCCAGGTTTTCCATTAAGCAATGCCCACGAACTCTGATAGACCCAAATGATCTCACCACTTTACGGTAAAGACTGGCAGGATCATGGTCGGGGAGGAGGGCTGAGCTGTTGCAGATGCCTTACAGCCATTAGAAACTAGGAGACACTTTCCTGATTAAAGATGAAAGGAGGATTGCTTGAAAAGGAGAATAAGATAACACAGAACCAACATCCCAAACAAAGAGTATCCTAGTAAATACAGTACTTTCCTGTCCAGCCCTATTATGCAACACATGGGAACCTAAAGAGGGGGAAAGAGAACTAACTTATGACTTTAAATATTTATACATATGAATCAATAGGCCCAAGTGTTCATAACTGAAGTGAACATCAAGTCTTGAAAGGCCTCTTCATTATTAAGTCCAAGACAAAGAGTTTAATGCCTCTCACACAAAAGAAATATGAGGGGCTCTTAGGGAAATCCTGCAGTCATTTGACCATAACTTGTGGTTATAGTTGCAGTATACAGCCATTGTTTTAGTCCCTTGTTCTCACTTTAAGGACAGAAACCCTCAGCAATGCCATTTCCAAAACTCCAAAATCAGTGATTCCCAACCTTGGGTCCTCAGATGTTCTTGGACTAAAACTCCCAGAAGCCTTTGCCAATAGCTGTGCTGGCCAGAACTTCTGGGAGTTGTAGTCCAAGAATATCTGCGGACCTAAGGTTGGGAACCACTGTCCTAAATGCTGGGTCTGTTCTTCTCTATCCCTCAGGCTCTGGGAAATGCTGGATAAGCACAGTCAAGAGAAGCAACTCTTCCGTACTTATGAGACTTTGGCAAGTCGGGCCTCACGACTGTGTCAAGAGATTAGGATGCTCCAAGTACAGCTAGCAACGCCATTCTCACATCTTCCGAAACTGGAGATGGAAAAGAATGTCCTGCACAATATGATGTATGGTGACATGAACCAGCTAATGCTTCATGCTCAGGTACTGCCCATGTGTGCATACTATCTAAGAGTGCAATAAAAGACCAATAATCCTACCACACAAGAAGGTTTGGATGTATCACCCTGTTTTGGAGCCTTGAGGCTCTTGATTATTCAGAGTAGTATAATTTCCTTCCCTCTGAATTTTTCAAGCAATATCCTTTAGTTTCCGATCCTGTTTGCAGGACCATTTGTTTACCCCTGTTTTTTCACAGGAACTGTCAGAACCTCTGGAGCAGCTTCACACGACACAGGCCAAACTCTACCAAATGCTAATGGATACCCTGAGTGACCTGAAGGCCAAACACAAATCCCTGCAGAGCCACTTTCAGCAGACGGAGCGCAGCCTTTACGTGCACTTCTTCAACAACCCAGACCGCCTGAAGGAGCTGGTAGAAGCTGCTGAGAAGCAGACACTGGCATCTTCTTATGTGTAACTGTAGTTGCCATCATCAGAAAAGAGCAGTATCAGCTGGGCAGAAAACGACCCTGATGGCTTTCTCCAAAGTATTCCTATCTGGACTTAACAGAAAGCCTACTTGAGAACACTGATAAGAAAAATAAGCTTTCCTTTATTGTCATGTTCTCTGTGCAGAACAGACCATTTCCTCATAGATCCTAACCTTCTACTGGGTAGGTCAGGGAGTGAGAAATTCTCTTTGATGGAGAAATAAATTACTGCATTAAGAACTCGTGTGGCACATCAGTTCCCTTTAAGCATTTCAGAAAGAAATGTTGTTGAGAAAGGATTCTGCATCTGTCTTTTACAATGATTGGGGGGAAGGGATTTTTAAATCCATCTCTTCACCTTGAGTTTGAGCCATATGGTAGATGCAACACCGGATTGAAGAACTGGCTGAGACACATTGGGTGAACTAAACGCTGTTCATATTTTTAAGAAAGGCTGTTGCCTACTTGTTTTGTCTAATTGTTTTTCTGCTTTCAGCTACCTTCACTACTTTAAAAGTTGTAATAAAAGAAGAGCATGAGCATAAAGTGTGGCTGTCAAGGTCATATTCTCTTTTGTCCCTGCTTATGTAGCTCAGTCCTCCAAGCACATTCTTTAATGATGTCAGGCAAATGACCTATGGAAATCTGAGGTATCTGAGGATCCCCTGGAACCACACATCTTGCCTAAGCGTGCATGTGTGGGCTCTTCTCCCAGAAGGCACAACAGAAAATTAAAATCCAGAACTCTTGGCCTGGCAGCCAAAGGCTCTGATCCACTGACCTATCCAGATTGCCACCATGTTTAAAATTAATATTTTGATTAATTAATATTAGTCACAAGGTGGCAGACATCTCTAATTCCCCCTAGAGCCAGTATATTAATTTTGAAGGTTGCATTGCTGCGTAACCTGTCGGCAGAAGATAAGCAAAAGGAAAGGGTGAACAAGCAATGAAGAAAGCAAAAGGCCAGCAAGAAAGAAAAGGAATTTTAAGGGAGAGCTAGTTGTGATCCATGGTAGTCAGATCTATATGCGTGCTTTCAGAATTCTGAAGGAAGGGTCCAGAGGTCTCTGGGGAGATGAGCTGCCCATTACTATGTGATGCCCATGTGTTACTATGAATTTGCTCTTTGCTCATATTACAGCCGCATATTTCCTGTGCAGACAATAATGTACATTAGAAACATCCTGACTGCAGCCACTCATGACATTTGGTGGCATGTTACTAGCATGTAAAAATATAGATGAGCTATTTTGCTGTTATTAGGACTGGGGAACATGAATAAATGCATGTGGGCATAGGCAACAGCCGGTGGTGATAACACCTTCACATGCATAGCAAAAACAAGCAGCAAGGGCATCACAAATCTGCATATACCCACTATTAAGACCACTTCAAGATCCTACATGATGAGTCAAACTAATGACAACTCGTGAGTTTGCAAGGGCTGAGTAGGGCTGTTAATGATAGAATATTTCTGGAGGTCACTCCTTCCTCAACAGTAACTAATAACTGCATGCTGTCAAGCTGATTCTGACCAATTGTGACCTCTTCCAGGGTTTTCTTAGTAGAAAGCATTCAGAAGTGGTTTACCTTTCCCTTATTCTGCACTCATTCTAGGACTGTGCAACTTGCCCAAGGCTATCCAGGATGGCTCTTCTCCTGGGACACACGGGGGGTGGGGGGAGACTGAATTCCCACCCTCTGACTCGATAGCCAGATACCTAACTCATTGAGCTACTCATTCATAGGGTTACCATAACTGAGAGGAAACTTTACAACATGTAACAACTAGAGTGAAGCTAGATAACTGTAGATCTACTCTGGTAGCATTTTCTCCCTGAATATGGATACAACCTAAAACAGTCACTTTAAATGCTCTGAAAGTGCCAAACAAAACAGCAGATGGCTTCTTGTCTAACACGTACCTTTCTGTATCCATTAAAAGGAAGATACATAGAAAGCTATAATGGCTTTGGGTTGATTCTCCTTTGCAGTGAACATTATCTTCCCAGCTAGGAAGCTATGTGATGGATTCTGGCGTCAACTGTACGCAGTAAGCCCCACTGAAAATAGTAGGTACAAATAATCATGCATACAAACTGCGTGAGACTAATGCAAGAGTAGGAGATAGCTTTATAGACCACTTTATAGCTAAGCCCCACATCCCCTGTACCAACAAGAAGACATTATGGACTCTAACAGTGGTCTATAAAGGTATTGCCTGCTCTTGTGTTTGTATTTTGTATTGACCACACAGCTACCTTTTATTTCAATGAAACTACATGAGATAATTCCCGTTTTTATTCTTCTTTCTCATCTCATTTCATGAAATTCTATGTAGTAATAATATTTTAATACCTTTCGATTCTAAGGTAGTGAAAAAGTTTATCAAAAGCAAGAAGGCTACTCGAACCCAAAAACAACTCAGGCAAGAAAAACCTGAGAAATAGAAATTGTTTGGCATCCAGTGGACGCGCCTGCTGAGTTTGGGTTCTGAAAGACAGAGCCCGCCATTCTCTGTCTATTTTCTTACCTCCGTGACATCATTCTTGTTGAGGTTCCGTAAGCTTGCAAGGGCAGCGTCCAAGGCCGGGAGGGCTTCTGCCAAGTCCTTTTGGGCATCATCTGCAATTGCCTGAGCTGTTTGAGCTTTCACTTTAGCTTTCATTTCCTCTGCCTGCACAGCATTTCTTGTCTCTTCTGCTACAGCTGTGTCCACCTGGGGAACATGGAGGTGATCAGAATCATACAAGAGCTTCCACAAGGTCTTTCTGGAAGTGAACGTTCTTCAGCTACAAGCTCTTGGTTTTACTACAAACTCTATAGTTGTCTCTCCCTCACCCTGTTACTGCTGTTGTGTAGAGATATCCTTCCATGATATTGTAGCCCATCTTCATTGTAAATTAACAACATCCCAATATAATAATGTAAATGTGCTGGTACATTACTTTTATCCTCTGTTGCTCAGCTTCTACCCCCTCACCCCCTTGGTAGAGGAAGTATAACACTAAAGTGGTTGGATGTAAGTTTTGGGACAAGCTGTGGCTGTCCAGCTGCTGGACTCCAACTCCTGTCTTCCCTGGCCACTGGCCATAGTGGCTGGGGCTGAGTACAACAACCACTGGAGGACTAAAGGTTCCCCATCCCCTTGTAAGGTAAAGGTAAAGGTTCCCCTTGACAATTTTTGTCCAGTCGTGTTCGACTCTAGGGGGCGGTGCTCATCCCCGTTTCCAAGCCATAGAGCCAGCGTTTTTGTCCGAAGACAATCTTCCGTGGTCACATGGCCAGTGCGACTTAGACAAGGAATGCTGCTACCTTCCCACCCAGGTGGTCCCTATTTATCTACTTGCAGTTGCATGCTTCCAAACCGCTAGGTTGGTGGGAGCTGGGACAAGCAACGGGCACTCACTCCGTCGCGTGGATTCGATCTTACGACTGCTTGGTTTTCTGACCCTGCAGCACAGAGGTTTCTGCGGTTTAGCCCGCAGCGCCACCACATCCCTTAGAACAGTATTAATCAAACTCCCCGTGTCGTTATGTGGTTGTGCTCAGGGCAGGCGAACAAAATTAGAAGCAAGCTTGTTTGTGACTCTGCCTCCATAAGGTTGAGCATATTGCCATTTATCTTCTTTCCTCACAGTGTATAGAAAACATACAGGCAGAAGATAAAGTTAATGGCATCTTGATATGCATCCTGATACAGTATGTCTATTCAGCAGCATCTTCATGATGGTCTGTTCTCCAATCTCAGCAAAGTTTACTGAAAAGTCTAATACCAGCTCAATTTATTGATTACACTAAGCAGTCTTGGGTTCCCTCCTTCCCCCTCCCCTTTTGTCAAATAATAACAAATAAGGCAAATAAATAAACTTGCATCCTGTATTCTGCTAAAAAAAGCACTCAGAGCAAATAATGTCACTTTAAAGAAAAAAACAGTAACCTCCTTAAAACCAATTATCAAACATCAATGCCTTGGTAAAAAGTAAGTTTATAAAGATAGGATGTCACACCTTTCTTAAGAATAGCAACAGTGGGAACTAACCATCGCTCTGAAGGCAGTGCCTTCCACAGTCTGGAAGGCAACATAAGAGAAAGCTCAATTTCATGTACCAGTTAGTTAGGTGTACATGGGTGACAATATTTTTCTGATTTCAGAGAAAAAATAAAGATTTTTGAATAGATTGTAATACATTTCTTAAAAAAATAAAAAAATAAGGTGCAGTTGCTGAGCATGAAGCTCAAAAAACAGCTTCCCTGTGAAATACTGCTTCCTCTAATAGCAAATCCAGCTGTCTAGTACAGAGAGAAATGTACCCTAAACAGACGTAGCGGAAACGTAAACGAAGGTATTGTTTTGGCATTCATTTATTGGGATACGAATAGGAAGGGACCAATTGATGAGCCAATTTAAAAAAAAATGTTTTAAAATCCACCCTATGACAGCCTAATGAAGACCCAAGGGCCCACTGGCCCTCCAATGTCAATTGGAAAAGTGGGGTGGGGTGGAATGCTATTTGGGGGAGGGGGGCGAAATCCTGATGAGAGCCCAGAAGAGAAACAATCCTGTTAGGAGAGAGGAGAGACGTCAAGATGTCGCAACTCCCACTGGAAGAAAGAGTGAAGGGAAACTTTTAAATTCCTCACAGGCATAAAAGCAAGGTACAATCAATGAAGAGAGGACACCTCCTACATGATGGCATGCAATTAATTCCTAACCCAATTAGAAAACAAGGCCAGTTCAATCCTCACAATGCTTTCTCTCCCATAGTAAATCAATCAATCACTTCTTTAAAGACACTCCAGAGGTGCTGCCCCACTAGTTTAGCTACGGGGTGATCTTCGGTGAGGAGAAGGAAAACTCCGATTTCAAACCTCCACTGCCTTGTGGCTACATCCACTCATGGAAAAGGCTTCAGGAGTTAACCTAGAGGCAAATTCCGGAGCTGGAGTCCCGAAGGCAGCTCGTGTCGTTCTGCCAACTCCTGCAACATTGCTGGAACCAGTTGTATTGGCTCTTGCCTTTCCATTGGACCATTTCAGCAATGTGGAGAGGGGGGATCTGCTGCTTGGGTAACAGACTATCCTCCATAGTACCTTACCCGGACACTCCTCGATTCAGAGCATGTTACCATAGTCTCTCGAGACTGAAGGATGCCTATGATGGATCTTCGGTGACAGCAAGGCAGAGGTACAACATAAGCATTGCTTCCTCCAAAAGAAGACTACCGAGGCAGAGTAGCTGCAAACAATCCAGTGATTGGGTCCTGTGTCTTCAGGTCTCATCCTGGCCATGCTGCTCTCTTTTGCACCCGGTTTCTGAAGCCTACCTGTATTTGTTCCATGGTCACTAAGGTGTCTTTGGCAGCCTCGGCCAGCAGGGGGCGCGCTAATTCTAGCTCTTCCTGCATTTTCCCGACATCATCTGCTGTTCGCAAAAGCTAGAAGCAGAGAAAACAAGGCTCAGCCTGATATGCCAGGTTTACTGAAATGCAGAATAAAATACCACCACAATATAGGGGTGGCAGAGGGGAGAGAAATACACTGCCATTTAGAATAAACTCTTTCCACAGTCAAGTGTTTTCCTGTTTTTACCTCAGTATCACTATATTCTCTTACATTCCCAGACACCTCTTAACTACAGGCTTCGGCATACTATAAAGTAGCACTTTATGCCTGAAGTTTGTTTTAGTGTATGACTGTTTTCAAATGCAGAACCACAGCAGAAGTGCCAGAACTCCCATGATATGTTTTTTTACTCTAGTATAGAAACATCTCACAAGATCAAGATGCTGAAAGATTTGTATCTCTGCATCCCACCCACTGGCTCTGCTAGGTTTCTCTACATACAGCACACTTACCTTCTAGTTTTGAAATTAAAAGTGTCCATTGCAGTTTCTCAAAAAGATAGCCATTTGGGCAGCTATAGGACATTTGTCTCATTTAAAACAGGAGCCTTGTTTTAAACGCATGGTTTGGTCTGGTCAGCACATCCTTCCTCTCCTCACCGACATTTACAGAAGGAAGAGGTGCTACACCTCATTGATGTGTGTATATGCCTTACAGGTTTAATCAAGTGCTGCTCATGTTCATGTTTTTCAACAACCTTCTTTGTATTCAATTGTATCATTTCCCCACATACCCAGCCACCTAATCTTAGTCTTAATCTTATCATTATCATGTTAGAACTGCAAGATGGAAGGGACCCTACGGATCAAGTCCAGCCCTTATCAAGGAGGCACAGGGGGCTCTGCAGCTAGAGGCCTAAATCACTGAGCTATCCAGCCATCCTTAGGTCCTTTTAAGAAGAAAGGCAGAGTAAAGATACTTTAAATAAATAAATAATGAAAATTCAGGTTTGTTCTTTGTAAGAAAATGTTCAGTTCAGATATAACAAGGACCATAATTTTCTGCTATGTCGGCAAGTGTGCATGGGTCTCGGTTAAATATTTGCAAAATGTCAGCCTTGACAGAAAGGCCAAGCTTTGCCTTATTTATTTTTAATCAGTACCTAGACCTTGATTTTGGTCTGGAGATGATCCATGGCTATCTGTATTGTGAATGCTATGTGGAAACATCATCTTAGAGACTTCCCAAAAGGAGAGCAAGAACGTGAGGCTCTGTTAATAAGGACGATGTGTATGTATGAAATATTTGATCTTGCAAAGCTAACTCTGATTAAAGAATGGTTTAGGACAGCAGTCTCACAGCTGCAGCACTGCTGGTCATAAGCTCTCCGTGGAATCGTCTCAGCGCTTGCCAGCATAGCAATCTCAGTCTGTAGCTTTCTGACAAAAGGCAGAACTGGGTGATAAGATGGATCCAGTCCGCTTCAGAAAATGGACCTAGATCATTCTTGATCTTTCCTGGGATGGTATCAAACCAAAACCATTTCTATATGAATGGGCTTTGGAGATGAAATGTTCACTGGTGTGATTTGTGTCTTAAAAACAGAATACTGTTAATGCACTCTTAAATGTTATTCTTTTTATGTGGAAGGTTTATGCTGTTTGTATACCTCAAGTACACTTTACGTCTGTTTTTGATGCAGTGCATTTTGTTATTTCCTTGTTAGATGCTTTGAATAGGAAAATGGGATAAAAGCACCCTGAACTAAAGAAATAGAAATATGAATTCAGAGTGCCCAATTACTCTCTTTTAGTAGCAATCCACAATGTTCATATTTAGACACTCACTCAAAGTGACTGCTGCTAGTTCAAATTTATTGTGGGGCTGGTAAAGTAACTGTCATCCAAATAAGCAATATACATCAAGCCCTTGCAATGACAGGTCCTTTCCTAGGACGCGTTAAGATTTTCTAAAGTGTGATTTAAAAATGGTATATCAACATGAATGTCTGTTGATCTAAATGCACTCTTCAACGCGAGGGCGGGAAGTACCAAAATTGGAAAGGACCCACCTTATCCAATCCGCTCTTCATCCTATTCTTGGCAACTTTGAGCTCCTGCTTCTTTGTGCCTATCAAAGCAGTGAAAATGCCAAGCAGCTCCAAGTAACTTTTAGGAGTGACATAATTATGCCTTCCTAGTTCTGCCAGATATGCCTTGCACTTAGCGGCCACACTCTGATGAATTTCTACACACATCTCAATCTGGAAGAGACCGGAAAGGGAAAATTAGAAAAGGCTTAACACTTAAACGAGGGTTGAGCATGTCTAAAAGAAGAGTTGCATGGAAGCTGAAATATAGAATTCACATACTTATGAAATCAGCATTTCCGTCAAGGACAGGGGTCAAATGGAGAAGTGGCAACTCTTCCAAACATTGCCAGAGTATATCAAACATTCTAAATTCTAATAAACTGTGTACAGTACAATTATTAGGCAACTACTTTCTTTTTCAAGTATCTGATATAGTGGCAGAAATCCTGTTGCCTAGCAACAGTAAGCCACAACTACAGTAGGCTAATTTGAATCAATCAAACTTACTTGGGAGATGATTCATGAAATTCTCAATGATTCAATGGGCCTACTTTAAGTGCAGCTTAGTACACCTAGCAACAGGATTTCAGACAGTGTACTTGTATAACCTGAGGTTATGTGCATGTACGTTCTGGGAGACAGACTTACCATCCCCTGTATAACTTCAGGAGTGGCTTCAGTGTCTGGGACCTCATGAAAGAAGGAAGTAGCGACAGACTCTAGGGCTTCCGCTGGCCACTCATTAAACCAATCAATGGTACAGCAGTTCACTAGAGACGGGAACTGTCTGAGTCTTGCTCGGAAAACCTCTCCAATGGGACTAGAAGAAGCAGTTAAGAAATGGAAAAAATATCTTATTAGAATAAAATTCTAATAAACTCCTTTGCCACCAACTTAGCTTCTGCCGTGAGCACTTTTCCCCCCTTTTTTTCAAGAAAGGCTATCCTGAAGACACATAGAAGTCCATGATTAAAATGTCCATGAATATAGTGTACTTCAAACCTCTGTGGACAGATAACCCTCACTTTACTATCTGCAGTTTTAAACCTATTAAAACTGCCACAAAGCTTAGTTTACTGCAACAGCTGACATTGAAAACAGGGATCTCAACAATCTCTTCTACAAGGTTACAAAGGCTGCTGTAGCCCAGATGGAATATACGCCATTCTACCCGAAAGAACAGGCACAGCACCTCATATAGGTGAGAAATATAAGCTTTGCTTCATTCATGTATTGAGGTTTAAGTAAGCTAGAGAGGAATAAATAATTTCAACATACTGTCTTCCACTAATGGGCAAAATAAGATTCTCTCACAGTTCTTCCAGTTCTAAATAGAGAGCACAACATGACAACAATGGATACCAAGAAGAAAGCTGCCAGTGGCTAATGGATCTTATTTGAGCTCATAGATTAGGCTAACTCATACCTCATGCACAGAACTGTGTGGATATTACTGCGTACTCTCCCGGTATATGCAGCCATCAGGTTAGCCTTGGTGGGCTGAAGCCCTTGGTCCTGAACAATAGGCTTCATGGTGGTCATGATTTGGTCCTGTTCATCTAGGCCATAAAGGTTGGGTATATCTCCTGAATTGAGCAGGTTGTTGATATCCTCAAGAAAGGATTCACTTTTAATCTAAAGAGAAAATAATGCTGGTTCATTGGTAATTATAATGCTGCACCTACTGTTTTAATATAAATTTATATCATCAACAGCCAGCTCATCTTCCTGATCTAAATAAAGGTAACAATTCAGTGATTTGTTAGAGAAAAATGTAAGTCACAAAAAAAGAATATATGAGTGGTTAACTGGGATAAGACTTACAAAGCAAATACAAGAGTATGAAGTGATAGTTCACATATTGGAGTATCATTTGAAATTTGAATCCTGTTCTTTAGATCAAATTCTGCCATCTAATAACCTATACAGAGGATTACCTAGGGAGGACTATAAATGGGTGCTTGTTGTTTATTTGTTACCTGGAATCCAGATGTCACCTGTCAAACATGAACATCTGTTGAGATGAGATCACATTTCTTCAGTACTAGATGTGCCCTATTTTGTATCTAGGAAAATATATTCTTACTCTCAGTAGCATATTTACTGCCACTGAGATACATGGACATCTGCTAGATACTGTTCACAACAAGAATGTGAAGAGCAACAAAACTTTCTGCTTATCTGCAGTCGTCGTTGTTTAGTCGTGTCCGACTCTTCGTGACCCCATGAACCAGAGCACGCCAGGCCCTCCTATCTTCCACTGCCTCCCGTAGTTGTGTCAGTTTCATGTTGGTTGCTTCACAGACACTGACCAGCCATCTCATCCTCTGTCGTCCCCTTCTCCTCCTGCCTCCACACTTTCCCAACATCAGGGTCTTTTCCAGGGAGTCTTCTCTTCTCATGAGATGGCCAAAGTACTGGAGCCTCAGCTTCAGGTTCTGTCCTTCCAGTGAGCACTCAGGGAAGTGATTTCCTTCAGAATGGATAGGTATGTTCTCCTTGCAGTCCAGGG